CACTGCAGGCAATGAATCCGTCTCCTTGTTTCAATGTCCTCAAACTCTCTAGTTGACATGGCACCTCTAATACATAGAGCACACAGAAAATGGAAGTCAGCGGCGTACACAACTCCCATTCATGTACTGTACACAAGCGCAAGGAGACTAGTTACAGTCAGGTCCTCCCCCGAAACTCCCCAAAGCATGATATGATCCTACAATCTCATCTTGCCATCACAGGTCTAACCGGAAATAAAGAAAAATCTTTTCCCGATAGGGTTGCAAATGCTGAAAATGTCATGAGAAAAATTATGAGCATTTTTTGATGCGGGATAATGCGAATTTGGTGATACCAGCACCTGTGATGGTGCAATCATATTTGGTGAAATCAAAAATAAGAATTTGGTGCCTGACTCCAATTTGGTGAAGATTCATTGTGATCTGGTGACAGAGTCAATATTTTTGCGGGTTGAACATATTTGGTGACAAGTTCATTATTATTTGGTGAGTGATTAAATATAATAAAGGAGGATGTCGGTGCCTACAACTGAGACATGCAATGAGTCAGAGGGAAGCCATGAACTCCCTCACTCCATCCCACCGATCGGTGTGGGGCAGCAGGAACCAATCTCAGGCTCTGAATTTCCACGGGGAGAGGCGGATTTCAATTCAGACTCAGAGCCGGTCGACGAATAGAGAATTACAACTGTTTTCCCTTTGGAAATTTCCCTTACATCATCTCTAGGTTTAACGTCGACCTAAAGTAACTCGACTCCAGTCCCGCATCGATCAACCTGGCCCTAGAAAAACATGATGGAGACCTTGATTTGTGGGAAGGTGAGGAGCTTGCCAAAGTAGTCCCTGAAGATGACCATGCCGAGGTGCTCGTCTATATTCTCTTTGTGGTATGGGTTCTTCGATGACACTCCTCCAGCACAGCATGCCCGGAACAAGATGTTCCTGTCAACTGATGAGCATCAATTTATTCAATTCGATGATCTGACTACGATCGAAAACCAGAGATGAGGATAAAAGGATATGAGAAAATTTTTTAAATTTTCTCTTATACAGGTACGTTAAGATTACATCTTCATACAGGCAAGAGGCTTTCGTAGGAAAAAATAAATAAATAAATAAATAAAATAAATAAATAAAACAATTCCCATGAACAAGGATTACCTCCAGGTAGTCCCTCGAAAAAAGCATATTAAGTTGCCTTGCATGTTCACAAATTTCGCAAGTTAAAAATGTGAGGGATTAAAGTCAATCGCCAGCGATTCGAATGTACGGAATGTGGAAAGCGACTGACGGGCCTCGGACTTGGCAGGGACCTTGAAGCAGGTGATGGAATGGCGATTGGCTTGCTCCGCGTATCCCGTGAGGGCCAGGAATCCCCCGAAGAAGGTCAGATGGCAAAAATAGAGGAACACCACCGCTGTCCCTGTCGAGGAAGGGGGACTGTTTCATATTTCGGGAAGGGAAGCACACCATGTCGGAGCTAACAAATCTCCATCGATACGTTTTTTTCCCACTATCTCTAGCGCATGTTTTTCCGGCGCCGTGAAGACGCAAGATAAGGGAAAAGGCAAATCTTCAGCATGGATATTATGCGGTAACACTTTTTTTTTTACTTTTCGATATTTTTTTCAGTACAAGAATGAAAATGGCGTGTTTAGATTTTCGTATTTCCAGTCTCTAAAGTGACAAAATTTTGTTTCAATGCCATCATTATCAGTCGATGGTAGAGAAACGTTGGCATGAAAATGAACACATACCAAAGTACCAAATCGACTAGCCCCCCCCCCCCCTCTTACCACGAATCCAGGAAGCACTAAACATTGATATGGTGTGAATTGAATGTATCACTGTTGACGGTTTATACCTCCATTGATTCAACGCGGCGACCGTCACATTGCCCCAACATTGATTCAATGCTGCACTATTCACGATGGAAGTATCTGCATTAAATCAACATAGATTCATTGGATTCATTTGCAGTATAAGATCTCATTTTTGTTGTGTCTACCGTTAGGGTTTTTTTTTTTAATGCGTAGTACATCAAGGTTTGTCAAATAGTTCAGCCAATCTGCCAGAAAGAATTTAGATTTAGTTCGAACGTTCGATTTAGTGCAGATAAGACAGCGCAAACTTTGTCGCATCAAACAAGCAATAAGGGATTTTGTATTCGCGTGGCGGGGAGCAAGAGTTCGAAACCTGACCATATCGGACCTATTTTCCGATTTAAGCACAGACGTGTTTGGGATAGGCCATCAGGGCTTGGTGTAGGAGGAATGAAGCGATGACAGAGCTATATCTTTCCTAAGTTAACTTGGAATTAACAGCTTATCGTTTTAACCCCTTATCCCGATCCTATAATGGACTCCCATTACCCAGACAATTTTTTTTTCAAAAGTTCCAACAAATTTGATGTGTCTCATCGAGAGTTATAAATAGATCCAGAGAAAACGAACGTTTAACGTTTTTATTTGCTTTTTAAGATAGAAAATAGCAAGTAAAGAGGGTCCGATGGATTCTCCTTTTGTAATGCTCCTTTTTGTCAGAAAAATACCTTGCCCAGATAAAGGTTAAAGTAAGAATTGCATTCCTGAGTTCGGTGGATATCACTTGATATTTCTGTTTGCCTTATTACTTTTGCAGACGTCGATCTGGGACAGTGTTGACGGTGCATGGTCACCACATACAGTGTTTTCCACTTGAATCTGTTTTGTTTTTCTTCTTTTTTTTCTACAGGTATTGTTGCTTGACATGAATACCTGTGCATGGAACGTCAGCATTGCTTACGGGCTAATTAAAAAGACACTTCAGTATGGAATCAATGTTTCAACATTGACTCAACGCTGACTCAATGTTGACAATAGCAACATTGCGAGGAAATTGTCCAGTCAACGTTACATCAACAGATGTCAGGCGAGACATCTGGGGAGACATGCGAACAAACAAGATTCCTGACCCCTAAGTGCGATGGCGACGAATAGCCAACACAACGAGTTACGTATATATGCAATCGGCACGCGTCCCCAGTACTTTTGGAACGGTATTCGATAATTTTGCCACAGACGACGCCGGGGAAGGTATTTGACCTCCTGGATATATTCGACGAAAGTGGCAACCGAACCCAACAAAGCCCAGGGTAATTCTGAGCAGGTTAATGGAAAGTTAACGCGGTCGTCTACCATGATTTTTCATGATTTTGAAGTCATATTGATCCGCACAGAAGGATACGCGGAGTAAATGCATTAAAAAGCGACTACGGAGGATTGAGATCGTGTTGAGATTCACGCAGTACTTCAGCCATAAAATGGCGCATGCGCACGAATCACAGCCTATTGAGATCTGACTCACTTCAACGATGAACCATCGCAGATTCAACATAGCTTTAAGGTTGAAGAAAATGAAATTTCAATATGGAATCAACATTGACAGGCCAATGTTGTTTCAACATCAGCTACGTTGACGTTAAACGTTGAATCAATGTTGATTCACCGAGAGTGTGCTACCTGGGCCAGCACCTGCAAAGTCCACTTACCTGTGTAAGTGCAGAAGACGTAGATGAAGGGGATGTCGGTGAGGGCCCCGATGAAGAAACTGATCCCATCCGTGAGCGAAGTGATGGTCACGCTCACGGCCGCCTCCGCATACGTCGCCCTCATTCGGTCCGAGACGCCGTTCCGAGGATTCGTCCGTCTCCACGCTCCCACGATCACGAACGTGTCGTCCAACCCGATCCCTACGACCGACGTCGGCACGATCAGGATCCTCCACGAGCGAATGGAGACGAGACGGTCACGAAGCAGGCGGCCATCCAACTGGTCATTCATGCACGCGCGCGTACTTTCATCCTCACTCAGACATTTCCTGCGGCTTTATTATTGAATATTTGCAAAGGATTCGCGAAGGAGGAAGCCCATATCCAGCTCTTGAGCCACGTCGATTCCTAATCTCGGCAAACAATATTCCATGGTTGTGGAGAAGTCTTAGAGCAGCAAACCCTACGCAATAAACTAACGTTTCCAATGATCCGATGTACAATCTTCACCAATGTACATTTCTAATACTAAGTTTTTATATATCGGCTCACAACTCTAAACTTGCGCCAGTCTCAAGTTTATGATCCAACTATTCATTTTCTGAAGAAATTTGGAACATCGTTCCAACCCAGAGTGAAACTTATCTTCTATTCACAAATGCGCTCAGGAAGAAGGGCGCCTTCGACTTAGGAGAGAGTGGGGAAATACCGAACGGCGGGTTAATCCGAACAGCGCAAAATAACCTATTTGGAATGTGCATGACAGGCAGCTACTTGTGCCACTGCACAGACTTCACCAAGTGTGTTTTCATCACGTGAGAAAATTTCCATGACTCGAACAGCTTTCCTAGGAAAGCAATATCTTCGTTTTCATCTCGATTGATGCAAGGAAATGCTCGAGGGACGTGGCCTTCCCTGACATTACATAAGATTTCACCGATTCAAACGAATTCCCGCTGAAAAGAGGAAATACTTTTCTTTCGAAAAGAGACGGAACCCGCGATATTCGTTCGCTCGCTAGTCCGTGAACGTCAGTGCTATGGGGTGAATCCGGGCAGGCGAAGGAGGGAAAATCCGAACGCTCGGATTTGCCACACATTCTATTGCATTGGCGGTGTGGGGAATACGAATTGCTGTATGCTACCCATGTAATACTTACATTGTCCTATTTTGGGTAATTAGATATCATAATGCTTTTCAGATGCCTGACAAGTACAAACAAATTAAATAAATAAAAAATTGGAGTCGAGACTTTTGCTCCTTTACTGGTCACATGGGATAGAGACGATCCGAAGCTTATTTATCCTACTCATGTGCGCCCAAATAGACGCGACGAGATAATAGGTCACATTCCATTTCACCCTTTGGAGGGCAAGTCCCGCATAAAGAGGAAGTAGTCCAGATAGAGTAAATGAAGAGAATCCTCAAAATAGCATTAAACAACTTTGGGCGTATGGCCGCACTTCAACTTCAACGCCTACTTTGGACATATATAGTATAATGCAAGTATGGTAATGTAACTAGACAATGAGGGTGGTTTTGGAATGGTAACATCACCATTACATAACCTTCAAAGCATGCTGTTTTGATATCAAAGACACACTCGTCGGCAACTAACAAGAGTTTCTTCACAAAAGTAATTTTTTTTTAAATAGCAATTTGAGGACTGAGTAATAAGATGCGCGCTTGAGAGTGGACACTCTCATTCATTGAATGTTCGATTTACCCACCTACTGGGGTAAACCGGAACGAAGTCACTATTGGAAAACATTGCTTTTCTTAAAAACGCTTGTTAGAAAACGCTTGCGTTTTTAGTTTTGTTCTGAAATAAAATAAAAAACTTGCCAACAAGTTAGTCTTTGATTTCAAAACTACATTCTTCAACAAACAGAAATTGATGTGAAGTACGGCTCAAATTACAATTCCTGGCCTTTGTCAAAGTATATTTTCCTTAGGTGTTCCGTTTTACTAAATTTTCCCTCTTGCTACTGACCTTTGAAAAGGTCAGTAGCAAAGATGTACTCCATAGGCTAAGAAAAATTAGTCTGTAAGCATTATTTCGGATTAGACACCTCTTCAGAAGTATCTAGGTCGGAATGGTATGACGTAAGCATTCATAACGCGCCGGAAAGAAGACTGCGCCAAATATTTCCTAAATCGAATGTAAGATTGTTTTTACCCAATATGAGGAAGGGTGCAACCTTGTTGAGCCCGATGAAGGGAACCTGGATGTAGATGAGGAAGCCCATGGAAGCAAGCGTAGCTATTGCGGCCGAAATCACTCCCATGATGGCCAGAATGGGCTTGGACTTGACCGGGTCCAGCGTCACCAGGCAGAGGGTGGTGAAGCCGAGGAGGATGAAGATGGCGGCTGTGATGAAGGGGAAAATGGCGTTCATACCTCTCTCTAGTTGGTCTGGTGCTATCCGGGTGGAGTAGAAATACATGTCCAGGTGCTCCAGCTCCTTTCGTAGCTGGTTCATCTCCGTCTCCGCCGCTAGCAACCACTCGTAACCGCTGGAACAAGTGGTGATCGTCCGATGAGAACACGACCTTCGATTGTGGCGATGGGGAACTTTGCGTTCGGAAAGCGCATTCGCAGAATGAATATGATGTAATAACCGGGAATAGCCAATGAAAGGAGCCGCTGACATCCAGAGAGCGTGCCTACAAACGGAGTGCCCTCACGTTACAGCAGCCAGGAGCGAATGACGACCGATCGAACAAATAAGTATTGATATATGCTGCTATGAGCGAGTGGTCGTCAAGGGATTCCGGCAATCCTTTACGGCAAAACATCAATCCGTTTTTCCGTCATCTTTCCGTCGTTCAACGTAAAAAAAGAGACCTCTGAAGTAAATTAAAATTGGGTTTGGACGTGCGAAGATGGAGATGGCGTCATTCGAGGACCTGTTCGCTTGAGTTCATGTACGTTCTTCAGCACTTTACAGCTTCAGGGGAATAATTCGGGAAATAGCCTGCAGAACGATTAAATGGAGAGGCACTCAAGGTAAGTCATTGCAATGAATCAGAAAACAGTTCAAAATAAGAAGATTTAACAAACCTGGACCCACCGACAAAGCAATTCGTAAATTGGTAAATCGAATTTGAACGGAAAGGATCTGTCAATGATGAAGCGAGATCTGGCCTTTCACGTACTTCCCCGGAAATAGTGGAGTCGATAAGAGACGCTTTTGAACGTAATCATTAATTGTCAGACCGCCATGCTTCGCGTGAACTGAACCTTCCAAAATCAACTCTTCACGACATTTTGAAATTACCATAAAAAGAGGAGCGTATCACATTCGAATGCTGCATAAATTATGCAGGCATTTGAACGGAACGTGTGTCGATTTGTTTGAACAAATTGTAATGGAGGATTTAATGGGGCACATTCTCTTTAGTGATGCACGGCGGACTGACAATTTAGGATTGTGTTCAAAAGCTTCTCTTATCGATTTCACTGTTTCTGGGAAAGTACGTGGACGGCCAGATCTTGCTTTATGATCTTGCAAATGCTCTCCGTTTAAATTCGTTTATCAGTTTACGAATTGCTTTGTCTGCGGGTACATGATTGGTAAATTTTATTTGAAACTGTTTCCTTTCCAGACAAGGTACACGCTGGAATGTAATGTCTATCGGAGCTTCTCTTTCACTGCGAGGAGTTGAGAGTCAAAAATCGCCTTCCTTTCCCTTTCCCAACCTGGGAAAGTGATTTGACTCGCAACTCCTCGCAGTGTAAAGAAATCCTCTCTTGGATATTTCATTAAAGCGAGTACTTCGTCTGAGACAGGAAAGAAAGAGAAGGAATAAAGTGAGTCGGTGAAATATCAAAACTTAATTCCCTGATGATTTAGCTATTGCTTAGAATTGCTATGTTGCCAAAACTCCTGGCGATGCCGTGTTTCCCGTTGTTCGAATTTTAATTTAAAATTTGGAACTTTTTCAAAGCTTTGGAAATTCGCAGCTTCTTCGTAACAGAGATAAAGAAAGAGTCTCTGATTGATATCTGAATAAGCTTTGTCTAAACTTCCACACGAGTTCAACGACACTTGTATGGCTCAATTGGGGGCAAAGATAGCCACTTGACCCATGGAGTCACTTTTTCCCTGGGGAATTAACTTTGGGGCAGCATTTTTCGAGAACGCTTATTTGCTAGAACGCTGAAATTCGAACATTTTTCGAAAGTCAGAGGCCACCATACATGATTTATGTCAAGCGAATCCCTGTCGTACGTGCAATCACCATCTCATCACTTGAGCTGGAATGCCTCTAAAACGAGCCATGCGTGGTGCTAGTGTCACTTCGGTCAAGTTTTGTGTCTAAACTCGAGGTCGTTCTGCGTCATCATCGCATACTTGCGTTTCTCCACGAAGGATTTTTTTTTTATAACTAAAACGAACTGGTAAAGAGGACCAAACGTACAGCTCGAAGGTTTCCCTGGGCTTGGAGGCGGTGACTTGGGTCACGACAGCTGCCTTCACGTAGGTCACCACGGCACCGTCGTCCGAGGGCTCGATTCCGCCGAAAATGGTGGGGAGGATCATGGTCTTCAAGGTCACCGGATCCAAAAAGGCCGGGTAAGTGATGTTAACCTCTCCCGCCTCGTAACGGGGTATGAGGTCGATGAAATTTTGGATTCCTTCTCTCGGGTCCCAGCAACGGTTCCCACAGATGTCTTCGTACGTATATTCCTATGAAGTAATGAGAAAACAAATTTTCAATGGCATACCCTTTCTTCAACCCAACCCTCCCACATTTCCCTACGGGACTCACTAACGTCAGGCCTAGGCCAAACCAACAGACTGCCTTCAGGTCACCCTTATGCCTACGTTTTTTATTTTAAAAGAAACTCAATTCTCGACAATTATGCCTTCAAGGATGAATCAAATGCCTCCAGGATGCATGAAATCCATGGCGCGCGCCACCCTGGTAATTCAGGGATGTCCGGATAAGATTTCTACATATCTCAACACATCGATCAATCACTGCCAGCCATCGCTTCATTCTCAGCTCAACTCATGAAGTCTGTATGGAAATGAGTCATACATAAAAAAAGAAATAAAGATCCAAACGCCGATGCGAAGGTTCAAGTAGTTTTGAATATGGCATAATTTTGGCATGATATCCGGCAACACTATGGGACGAGATCGGAGCTAGCGGTCTAAGTCTACATGAACGATAGATAATTTCATTTTTATGGCCAAATGGTGCATCGCAAGAAACAGAAAGGGCACTTTTCATCATCTAAAAATCAATATATTTCTCGTGGTTGGTCTCTTTCCTCCGAAAACCTCCCAGGAGTGGCTATCCGGGGGGGGATGAGAAAAGATTCGAGGAACTCCAGATAGGCCTAAGTTCCACGTCTTCAACGAGATGTCTCGAAGACTAGGGATTCACATTCATAGGCCTAATTGGTCCCGTAAATCGCGAATTGAGTTTATTTTTTTTTTAAGTAATACGGTTGGCCTTGGCTTGACCTGAAGGCAGTCTGTTGGTTAGGTCTAGGCCTAACATTAGTGAGTCCCATAGAGAAGAAGGGGTTGAGTCATTGAAAGTTGGTTTTCACATTACTCCATTTAACCAATACTCGAGCACGTTTAACGTGAGCCACTTAACGAATAATTCATTTCTTTGGACTTTACAAACCTTGCCATTGGTTTTGAGTTTGACCGATCGGAGTCTGTTGGTGACGTAAAGAAACTCGTGGAGGGTGTCATTCCTGAGCATGGTCCCTTCGTCCTTGGCCACGACGAGAACCCTGGTCATCGCCCAGATGCCATCCTTCTCTTTCAGGTCTTCTTTCACGTTCCTTCTGCCTCGACCGGAGCGAATTTCTTTCTCTTCCGCCTCTTCGAGTTCGTTCGAGTAGACGGGTCTTCCCCAGATGTTCCAATCGTTCAGATGATTCGTTTGGGGTTTAGAGGGTCTCGCGAGTTTCTTGCGATCTGGTCCTCCCAGCCAACTCGAGGCCAGGTCATCCGTGAAATCGCGTCGCGTCATCTGGTCTCGTAGAGGATCGGGGTCGACGTCGAAGCGAGGACTACGTCTTCTCCGTCGTTCGCTGTGGATCTTCTGTTCGAAGTATTCCTTCTTTACGCGTTCCTCCGTCCATCCCCGCCCGTGCGTGGGCGTGAAGAGCCATTCCACGTCGCCGACGTAGTTATCGTTCATGTTTTGAATCCCGGTGGCGAAAAAAAGGAAAAGGAAAAGAGTGCCGAAGATGAAGGCGCTGGGTCTCTCCCCGACCGCATGGCCCAGATTCCCCAACAAGCGGCTCAACTGCCGGTCGATCCACACTGCGGGTAGCACCATCTCTGTCCAAAGCAGAGCGATTCAATAAATAATGGTGCAATAATTTGTGGGACGTTGGTTCTGTGCCTTCGTCATATCCTTGACAAACCTTCGTGAAGGTTTGAATTAACGCAAGTATCTATAGATAATTGTACTGTAATGTATGAGCGCGCAGTGACGTACGGTCTGAAGGAATAATAAAAATGAAGTTCCCGGATATCAATAGGAGAGGTAGCGCCTATTACCTTTCTTCAACTCCCTCACGTAGCAAAATTCAACCTCCTCGTACTCCACTCTGAGAGCATCAACAAAAACGAAATTTAGCTTGCTTCTTCCTTTCTTAACAACGAATAGTTCCAGCAAATTTGAAGCTCCATCTCCCAGGGGTTGTGGAGGACTCTGAATCTCGTTTTTGGAAAATGTGAATTTCATTCCGTTGGGTTTTTTTTTTGGTTAGTTAGGCCTAGGCCTAACGCTAGTGAATCCCGTGGAGAAGAGGGGGGGGGGGGGGGGGGGGGGGGGGGGGGG